ACATATGTCCTTCGGGGTCCTTGTTGACCCTGAAGTGCCSGCGTAAGGCAGAGAGTTCAAAAGTTACCGGCGGTAGGAAAGAAGTCCTAAAGATGGTGGTTCCTGGGTGTTCCTGGCCAAATACTCCTGYGCCTCTCCAGACGGTGCTGTTAAAGAGCCTGTCTCAAAACTGGGCTCAAAACAGACTCAAAAGTCTCTCGGGGCCGCTCTGCCGCTGGGCTGGCGTGTGCTCCTGTCTTCTGGCATGAGTCTCATCCGCCGGTTAGCATCACAAATGCTTAAGGTTGGAAGGGACCTCTAGAGATCCAACCCCCTGCACACACAGGACACGTAGAGCACATGGCACAGGCTGCATCCAAGCGGGTTTTAAAGATCTCCAAAGAAGGAGACTCCACAGCCTCTCTGCGCAGCCTGTTCCAGTGCTCTGTCACCCTCACCGTTAGGAAATTTTTCCCTAAGTTCCTGCGGAACTTTTGGTGCTTTGGTTTGTGGCCATTTCCTCTAGTCCTGTCGCTGTCCACTGCGGAGAAGAGGCCGCCCCATCCTCCCCACTGCCTCCCTTGAGGTGTTTATAGACACTGATCAGGTCCCCCCTCAGCCTTGTCTTCTCCAGGCTGAACAGGCCCAGCTCTCTCAGCCTCTCCTCACAGGGCAGATGCTCCAGGCCCCTCATCATCCTCGTAAAGAAGRTGAAGGCAGAATCATGATGAAGCGAGAAATGCACCACGCACTGCAAGGCCGGGCTGCGCTCGCGAGCCGCGCCGAGCTCCGAGAGCCCCGTTTGTGCACGGGGCTTTGCTGCGGGATGGGAAGCGCTTGGATACTGGCCTGGGAACGGCCCTGGATCTCCGGACCCGCGAAGGGGTTCCCTGCGGGCCGAGCTCTCGCCCCTCTTCCACGCAGAGCTCTGGGATTCGCCTTCCATGTGGCCTCCACTCCTGCTGGGGGGAGTTTTCCATGGTCGAGCTGGGCAGCTTGGGAAAATGTGACTGGGAAAGTTCACTTAAAATTACCTGGAGTGCTTTTTTTTTTTTTTTGATGACTTCTGTAGCAAAAAAAAGACCTTGAGGGTCATTCTTGCAAAAATACCTGCTGTGAAAACACCAGCAGTTGGAGGATCGGAGTATTTAGGGGGAAACTTTAGGAAAACGTTAGGAAAAAATAGGGTCTCTTTTGAGACATCTTGCTGCCCCTTTGACCTGTTATCTCTGAATGTGCTGCCGGGTGAGACATTTTGGGTATATCCTCGTTGAAATAAATGCGCTGACCCTCCTGCTTCAGAAACGGGAGGGAAATGAAGAGAACGTTCCTGCAGCAACCTGGAAGCCCTCGGGATGCTTGAGGTGCCGGGATCCCGTTGCGATCCCGGCCTGGAAGCGGCCCCTTCCGAGCCCGCSAGCCTCACCCCTCGGTTCTTCCCGCCAGCCGTTTTCTGTCCTGCGTTATCCCAGCCCGGCAGCCGCTCCGTGCCACAGGATGCAGTCTCGGCAGTAGCTTTTGCGTCTTTTTTTTTTGCTTTTCTGGTACTTTTTGGTGCTCTTTCAAACAAGGTGTCATGGAGAAGCTTCAGGGCTCTGCGTACATCTCTCTACCCTCCTCTTTACTCCCCGAATCCTTGCTCCCGAACACTGTTTTCCCCCCATAGTCCCAACTTTTCCCCTTGGAGGAAGGAAGCTGTAGCTCATTTTCCAGATCTCTTTCCCCGCCCCCTCCAGTCTTTGAGGAAAAGAAGATAAACTAACGTTTGGCTGGAATTTGTGCCTATACCTGGGGGTCAAGCTCGTGTTCCGGGCCCTTTCCTAAGGCATTGGGAGAGCTGCCGGAGTTGGAAGGCTGTTTGGTGCTGCGGTTCCGGGGGTGTTTGCGCTGCGCTTCCGGGGCTTGCTCCCAGTTTTCTGCTGTTTGGGTGTTGCTCGAGGCTGCTTTTGAGGAATTYTCCAGCGGGAGGCCCCGCGCTGACCGCTTCCCCTGGCCCGCTCCCTTCCACCCGTCTCCTCCTCTGGGTTTCGCTTCTCKCAGTCCCTGCTGCCCCCAGAGCAGCTCTAGGTTTGGGGGCAGTGCAAGCAGCACAGAGCCAGTGTGAGATCCGGCTGCAAAAGCCCACGTGAYGTTTGGTAAACCTGCAAGGAAGCATCTTGGCGACCTCCAGGCCTTACCCTTCAGCACGCGTGTGTTTGGTGCTGCCCGGACTTGCAGTTTCTGATGCCGTGCGGGATCTCCTCGTGCTTCCTTCTGACGTAAGAGCAGGGCTGTGCGCGGCTGCACGGCACTGAACGGGTCAGGAACAGCCCGGGCGAGTCCAAGGCAGAAACCACAACCCGAGCGGTGCCAGCCCCGCTGGGTGCAGAGCCCCACAAGGAGCAGGAGGAGGCTGCGTCCTGCTTGGAAACTGCCTGAATCCATAGGGAGCCGCGTCGTGGGGCGGGAGGCAGCGCTCTCCTTTCCTGCCCTGCCGTTTCTGGCGCTCAGGGTCTGGGAGCGGAGAGCAGGGCTGAGCGAGGAGGGCTCCTCTCCAGATGAGTTTCACGTGGGAAATGGAGGGGTTTTTCTCCCCGCTTCTGCACTGTGACGCTCTGAACGGTGCTCTGCTGTAGCTCCATAGCCTCCGGATGCTTAAATGGGGTTGTCTTAAGCTGGAAGGTTTTCTCTTGTCACAWGTCCTGCTGCTTTATCTCAGTGGGACCTCGCGATTAATTCAAAGACCGACCTGATAAGGTGCTTTGTGCAGGGCTTTATTTTTAAGGTGGGTCTGAGTGAAGGCAGCGGGTGTTAGCAGGTCATCAGCCGGATTTGTCTGTTGTGACTTAAGTCAGACTGCAGGGAAACTCCCTTTGCTTTGCTAGCTGCCCTCTTTAGCCCATGTGCCAAGAGGGATTTGCTCCACCTTGCACCTGGTGTTCCCAAGAGGGATTTGCTCCGCCTCGCACGTGGTTTTTCCTACAGATGAATGCAGCCTCTGGGCCAGGCCGAGGAGAATGAAGCAGCCAAACCACGTCAAATTAATGAAACATTCCAATTAAAACTCAGCTGTTCCGCTGCCTTTGACCGTTYGCGGAGCCCGGCGAGCTCGTGAGAAGGGCGCTGACGTGGCTGATCTTTATTTATTTATTGGCAACAAGTCTCCTTTACAAGCGATTGCCCGGTAACAGCACATGGATTTGCACAGCGGTGCAAGGATATTTAGCTTTTGCAACAGCTGTAGGAAGGATGCCGGGATGCTTTTCCCGGGGCATCCGCCGGGTGCCCGGGGGTTTTCGTTTCCCGTCTCTGCAGCGGGGGCCTCGCTCCGCGTTGGGAAGCGGCTGCGTGCGGAGCCCGGGCGCTGGATGCCCTCGAACACATCCCAAAACACGCAGCAAACGTGGRTGTTGGGACCCTGCTCGGCTTGCGTAACCCCCTCTAATACCCCGGCCTGTGCAAGGGCTTCTCTCTTCCCTTGGGAGCTTGAAGACACRTTCTACGGCTTGATCTCCCGCTGCCATCGACACGGCCCAAAAGGCCGTGTCCCAAGTTTCCCTCTTGTATTTGGAGGTGGAAATGGTTTTTGGCTGCTTTGCGTCAGCTCTTCCTTTTTCAAGTCCCTTGCAGGGAGGCCTGTTGCTGGAGAACACCCGCCAAGGGGGAGCTGCCGAGCGTAAGCTGATGGAAACCTCCCTCCAAATACCCCCAAAAGGCGGTGCCTCCCCAAAAATGGGACTTTTTAGAACCTGGGAGGATTACCTGGAGACATCCAGTGTGAATAACGCATGCAGAACATCCTGAGAATTGCCTGCTGCTGAGGTAGTTAGAAACGTTTTGCTTCTGTTTGTATTCCACCCTCGTGGAATCTGGTCGAGCTTGTTTTTATGAAAATKAACCTGTTTTAAATATATTTTTTCTTCTATCTAAAGTGTTATTTGGAAGCAGGAATGACTAGATTTGGGGGCAGGAAGGAAGGGCCTTCTCCTGCTTAGGGGGTTCGTTATTCCTGACCTCATTCCTGAAGCCCTGGCTCATCCTGGATTAGCTGCCTGGCCAACTTCTTTCCACTCACAAAGAGAGCCGAAAGAARGACCTAGCTGGGGTCCAGGACGAGCAGGTGGCACGGGGTATCCACCTGAAAAATAATGGAATGTTAAGGAAGGAAGGCGTTTGCCCGTTCTGGGGAGCTTTCAGGGAGCTCTGATCTGTTTAACCTGTTAACCACGGGTGTAGCTTCCGCTCTGATCTCTCATGAGCGGCAGGCCAGGCTGGTTGCGACGCTCTGGACCCGATGCCGTGAAGCGGTGCCCAGGAATGGGCTGGAGATGCTCCCTGGGGAGGCCTTGAGGCTCGAGGCAAGCGGAGCCGAACGCCGGAGAACCGGCCTGCCCTGGMACAGGGAGCAGAGGGTGGAGGAGCTTGGCGTAAGGCCAATCAGTTTRGGTAAGATGGACCCCCCTTGTCTTCCAAAAAATGTATTAAAAATGATGTGTTTGGGGTTTTTTTTTTCCCCCAAAAAATGCAGGCAGGAGCATAGGGATGAAGTCCCATCAAACCKTACGCAGACGGCTACGTTGGCTGGTGGGCCGCGTGGGCCGATGCTTTGCAGAGCAGCAGGTGGACGGTAGCAAGCGTTGGCTTGTTGGCAGCGGGCTCTTTGGCTTGGGTTCTGCTCCAGAAGGGAGAACGTAATGTTTCCCCACTAGCACTGGAAAGGAAATGTGTGAATTGCAAATTTCTGCCGAGCGTGAATGGAAGGGGGAAGACCATCTGGTTTTCCTTACCTGGAAGGTAAGACTAATCTCAAGGGAGCTTTGGGATGTACTCTGTGTTTGAAACGTAATGCTTCATGTCTAGCCAGTGCTTTATGGTATCTGCCCCCTATTACTATAACTTGACTTTGTCTTTCCATTGTAAGAACACTTGCAATGCTGTTAATATTTAACAAGGGCACTAAACTGGACGATTTCTTTCTTTGCAGTGACTCCTGTGATGAGCAGAGCAGCAGCAGGGGCTCCCGAGCTTTGGTCCTCACAGCTGCGTTGAGCTTCTAACCTAATGAATCGAGGGCTCTGGGGAGGAGAGCAGYTTCAGGTAAGGAGGGAAATATTACACTTTGAATGATGCACATGGTGGGATTCCTCTTGGTGCGAGGGAAAAAGACGTGCAGATGATGGAATTCCAGGAGAAAACTGTGTAATCTCAGCAAGGCTCAACTGAGACACCACTCAGAGCAGCTCCCTTCTCTTCCTTCCAGTTAAGGACAGCTAAGAGCAGGACTTCAGCAAATGTCAGTTAGGTTAATTGCTCCAAAAAGACTWCTTCTAAGGAAGTTTTTTCCCTTCTAGCTGTTGAAACCAGAATGATAGATAGGGAAGGCAGAATGGCAGATGGGAAGATCTGCATTTTTATCTTTCCAGTTTTGGCTTTGACATAGATGAATGACCTGGAAGGAGGAATTAAATTGGGTGCATGCCCTTTCTCGCCGCTTGTGGTTACATCTTTTTCTTTCAATAATGCTCCGATGAAGCTGTGTGAGGAGTTGCTGAAAGGCATCTTGAGCTTCTCTAATGGTTTTGTTGGGTTTGATCTGGCCTGGAAAGCTCCAGGACCGGTTTAAGAGTTGGAGGGAGAGATGAAAGTACTGGACAAAGAAAGCAGAACTGTCACGCCAAGCGACCCTGGAGAAAGGATGTGTTTTAAAAGCAGTTATTTGTGCTTTGTCTTTAGTGCCTTTTCCTTTGGAGAAGCTGCTTCCTTTTTCTCTAGATGCTCTTGAAATTTGGTGGGACTGGACTGGATGCTTGGGTGTGATCTCCTGGAGGGACAAAGCAGAAAAGTGACTTTCGGTGGCAATTCTTTCCATAGACCAAGCTTGGTTTTGGAAAGCTCTGTTTTAGTCCCTCTCCTTCTCCGTCTCCTCAAGCAGGTGACATTCAGAAGCATGAAGTAAGGGGGCAAGTGTTGTGGGACTAAGATGTTTCCTAGTGCCTCCAGAGATGCTGTGGTCAGTGCTCAGGAATAAGGAGAGGAAATGCGTCGACTAAGCGTTTGATCAACGTWGCTGCAACACAGACAACTGATGGTTTTCTTTGCGTCTCCCATAAGGTAAATCCTTAGGGGTAGGGGCTGATTTTGCASAAATCTGGACCCCAGACACTTCTTACGTAGTTGTCCCAGGGTTTGGTGGAGTGTGGTTCAAATTGCTGGAGTTACAAAACACAATATTGGGGTGACTCGTATTTTTGCCTGTTGTTTAAATCAAGCGGTCTAATAGAGAGGAATATCCATGTAGTTTCTTAACCTTTTTGCTACATCAGTATTAGCCTTTTGGGAGGAGGAGGAAGGCAGCCCTTTCCTCGTTTCTTAGCTTTGCAGAACTTGAACCTTAAAATAATCTCCATAGCCCTGTCATATAAATATATAACAAGCACCGTGCAGCGTGGAGCTTCTTGCGGAATTTTCTTTTCCTTTCAAACTGCAGAGTCCTTGAAAGCAAAAGTCTCCCTTGCTTTTACGGCCTGCTTAATGCTTCTGCCCGCAGCAGCTCTCCTGCCCGGGAGCAGAGCTAATGCACTGATTGCTCCGTAATGAGAATATACCAGGAGCTATTTGAAGTGGACGTCGCAGCCTCAGGCTGGGCTTAGTGACTGGAGCTAAACTTCTGTCTCTCTCGATAATTTGTGTTTAAAAGTAGTAGTGCTCCSCGTTCCCGCTAGCAGGGCTTATGCTGATGCAACGTAGCTCCGTGGCAGCAGTGCTTCGAGCTGTAAYCTGTCTTTCTGGGGGCATCTTTTCTTCTAAATACGCGGTTTACAGAGCTAAAATTCACRTGAATGCGGCTAGGGCTTAAAATGGTTAAAATTAAATTCTAAGGCAAACGCTTCAGCCGTTGAACTGTGAGATCTTTCAGTGATGAAATTTTCCCCTTAAATGGGTTATGACTGGCTGACAAAGATGTTCAAGGGAGGCAAAAACCACCCTGTGAAATGTGCGAGAAAGAGCCTGCGTTGAAGGCGCTGTTCTGGCTCTTGCACGTGTTTTAAAAGCACCTTTGGGGGAAGTCATCGGTCATCCGTGTAAGTGGCTGCAGATTCAGTGGTGCCTGTGTCCTCCGTCGGGTTTTAGTTCAGACTGAAGATTCCAAAGTGGAGATTTTGTGGAATTTGGGAGCCTTTGTTCTGCACTGATGGCGTTTGACGAGCACAGGTTGCTGCTGCTTAGATGGCCTGGCTGAGTCCCGGGAGATGAGCATCCTTCCACGGAGGACAGAGCGTCCGGAAGCAGGTGGCTCTCAGTGGTTTCACTGTCGTCACCCAAAGCGTTTTCCCTCGAGTACAGAGCTCCCTCTCTGCGCTTCTGACACTCTTGCAAGTTCTGGTGTGAGTGTAAAGGTGAGAACAGCCCTTCCCTCTTGCTTGGCATCTCAAACATGACACCGGTTGGTTTTCCCTTGGTTTGGGGTCGTGCCTTTTCAACCCAGCTTTGCTCCTCTTTGACARCCGACTTTAAAGCGGGGCTGCTGTTACCACTGCAGCTCTTTGAACATTGCTAACAGCTTGATGGAAACCCTGTTTTGTGCTGAGGTCATGCACAACCTTTTGGAGGTCTTCCAAAAGATGGTAAGTGTTTGGTTTTCCGAGGAAAGCCCTGAACGCAGCACAAAACTAAAGGCCCTCTTGAGTTTGAGGGAGTTTCCCAGCATTCCCATAGAGTTCCCATAGAGTTCCCATAGAGTTTAAAGAGGCCATGGGTTTGGATTCTTCCGTTCATGTCTGCTGAAGGACTATGCAGCAGGCAGGGATGGTGAAGCCAAAGCAGCTCCTTTTCGGGTCGTTTGCAGTCCTCTTCTCCATGGAGTAAAGGAAGGAGGTCCATCTGCTGAAGATGTTTCTTCTGCCGTAAGGTGAGACGTGGCAGAACTGGTAGATGCTCCTCATGGTCTCCCCGGGTGTCCGCAGTAGCAGCGGGGACCCCGAGGGGCTAAGGTGAAAATGCGAGTTGAGTTGAGCGTGAAGGAGATGTTCAAGGGAGAGCAGAGAGGGAGCAACTTCGTGCAGCAGCGCCCTGCTACCCATGGCTTTGCTACCCAGTTTGGAGAAGTGCTGCTCGTGGTTCGGTGTCTGGCACTGCAGACTGCCTCATGACTCCCTGTCCTCTCCATCGCTTCAGGGTTTTGGTCTCGAGGAGAAGCAGGCGCGGGAGGATGACGCTGCTCGTGGTGGATGTGTCCCTGCTCGGAAAGAGGCAGCGAGGGCTCTTGGGCAAAGCAATTCACAGAATCACAGGATGGTTGAGGTTGGAAGGRACCTCTGGAGATCATCCAGTCCCACTCCCTGCTCCAGCAGGGACACCCAGAGCACGGGGCACAGTGTGGCATCCAGGTGGGTTTKGAAGACCTCCAGAGCAGGAGCCTCCCCAGCCTCCCTGGGCAGCCTGTGCCAGGGCTCGGGCACCCTCACAGGAAAGAAGTTCCTCCTCACATGGAGGAATCCTGGTTGTGAAGAGATGTCCGAAGCAGAATCTCGAGGCAGGAGGCATTTAGCTCTTAATTCTTCCTTTAGAAAGCAGACGTTCAAAGCCAGTATTTCCCAAGCCCTCCCATGCATCCCCGCTCCGCTGTGTTCACTCTTCCAGGAGCAGCTGGTTTGCCTTCTGTCCCATCTTTAGCCGCRGAGGTTTTTGGGGATGCATCCTGCATGGATAGCAGCGTTAGCCACCTTATCTTTGAAACCCACCAAGGCCGTGGTCTTGGAAGGAGAAGATTAAGAAGGGAAGAGAGTATCCAACAAGCCAAGGGAGGGGAAGGAGGTACGTGCCTGATGGGGCTGGCCGCAGGAATTGCCTCTGTTCCACATAATTAGAAATTCAGAAGCTCTTTAGAGACCTGAAATACAAGATGGGGGAAGTTCTTCAGCGTGTTGCTTTTAAGTTCTTCCTCAAACTGAGGCTTTGTATCCCTGTGTGTGTGCATGTGTGTGTGTGTCCCAAATGTATGTCCCAAACTGTGCAACGGGGATACCAAGCAAGGTGTCCCAAGGAGGAGCTTCATTTTCACCCACACCTCTTGCAAGGCTGATGCAAAGACTTGGGAAATACTCCTTTTRAATGAGGATGTGCCAATGCTCCAGCAGAGTTTTTTCAGCCCCRGCAGAGTTTCCTCAGGGTCCAGAGTGGCAGTGAACGGGCCAGGCAGGGGCTCTGCAAGCCCCAGGGTGCATCCCGCGAGCCTCTGGGGGCCTCAAGACTAACAYTCTCCACCAAGGCTAAATCTGCACTTGGGCCCTTATGGTTTGCCCAGGCTTTGCTGGAATAAAGTAGTTGATGCCTTTACATTTTCCCCTTTTTTTTTTTTTCCCCCACTCCACCATTGACTGTTTTTACATCGGAGTTGTTASGTGTGGTTACAGGCGGCATTTTTCACTAGGAATGTTGGATTCTTCAGAGAAAGGCTCTTCCTTTGGCGCTTGGATACGTGAGTATTATTCATTGGCTTTTTCAGACATCACTTGAGYGTGATTTTCCATTCTGTGCCTGAATATCCCGAGCCAACTGGGTAGTATGAAAGCAGCAGCAGCACCGTTGGGGCAGCCTCAGCAATGGCAGCTTTTTGCTGTCGTTCATGCAACAACCTTCAAGTCGTTCATGTTTAGCTGAGCCGATTCCAAAAGCCTGGATGCTGTACGTGGAGTKTTGTTGTTGTCGTTGTCTGACTTGGGAAATCGCATTAACCGTAAGCACCGGTTGGGAACCAAAGGAGTTAAGGAGCTTGTTCCTAACGAGGCTTTTAAGGCACCAAGGGAAAGGGAATCGTGCTGCAGGARAAGATGGGATCTTGCCATGACGGACAGCGCAGTGCGAGGATGAGCGGGATGTCGTGCAGCTGCTGACAGTGGAGACGAAAGGAAGCAAAAATAAGTGTGAAAGGAAAGGCCAGAAGTGGAAAGTCCTCCCAAAGGGCTTGCTGGAACAAAAGAGGGGAAGGTCTCTCGTGAGGACGGAAAAACGTGCGTGTTTTCAGAGGCAGGAGGGTTAAGCTGGGCTAGAGGTGGGGATGTTTCAGTGCCAAGGAAGCTGTTGCCAGTTGTTTATGG